GGGATGTTCTTGGGAAGCATGACTTCAGGGGGGAACTGTCATGGGGGCTCAGTGTCTCTGATGGATGCCTCAGTGACAGAAACACGCTGGCATTTTCAGAAACCAGCCGGGAAATGCTGAGTCTGCATTGGGGGAACCTTATAAAATTCAGAGCCACTTTCTTTGTTTGCAAGTCTGTGCCTGGCACAGGATTCTCTGCATTTTCTGAGCTTTTTCAGCCCCCAAGGAGTTGATGCCCCAGCAGGGAGCCAGCTGCTGGCCCTCCCCCGCCCTCAAACAGCCCGTGGCCCCGCCTTAGGCGGTTTCCTGCCCTAACCCAGGGAGCAGCTTTTCAGATAAATGTTTCCAAACAATAACTGTGCCCTGAGCGCACTTTTCACCCGGGACTAATGACTCAGTCCATATGTTTGTTAATGTTTCAAGAAAATCCAAGGCGGACTCTATGCATTTCCTGGGCCATGGCCGTAGTTCTGCATTCCCGTGTTAGTGGGATGAGAAAAGATCACCACTTGCTACGTAATTAAATACAGAGGCCCTGGCCAGGCCGCTCAGCCGGTTAGAGCGTCATCTGATTGCCAAGGTTTCGGGTTCAGTCCCCGGTGAGGGCACACGTAAGAATTGCCCGAAGAATGCATAGTGAAGTGGGGCAGACAGTAGATGCTTCTCTCTCTGGCTCTCTCCTTCCTCTCTCTAAAATCAGTAAAAACAAAAATGGAGCCCAAATGGCATGACTCAGTGCTTGACTGTTGACCTATGAACCAGGAGGTCACGGTTCAATTCCCGGTCAGGACACATGCCCGGATTACGGGCTTGATCTCCAGTGTGGGGCGTGCAGGAGGCCGCGATCAGTGATACTCTCATCATTGATGTTCCTATCTCTCTCTCCCTCTCCCTTCCTCTCTAAAATCAATAAAAAATATATTTTTAAAAAAAAGAAAAATGAAAAATAAAAAATATATTTTATAGGTCCCCCTTGTCAACAGTGGGTTAATATGATGGGAGAGAGTGTGTCCCTGCAGGTTCTCATCCCACAGGGTCTGTGTGTCTGGCCCCGCGACACTCAGAGTCATGTCCATTGCTTGTATGTTAAGGGTGTGGGCGGCTCGAACTGGCCCAGATGGTCCCAGATTCAGGTGGACAAGGACCCGGATGACAGTAGGCCCCCG